GGATCCGAACCCTCGGCAGGAGCGCCGCCGTGCTCCCAAGCGGCGCACTCTCCAGTGCGCCACCGGGCCGGCCCATTTTGCTAAGTACTTTTAAAAAATAGAGATTGCTTAAAATATGATCATCTATAGCCTCTCATCTGGGAGGGAACATATACACAGAGAGGTACCACCGGGCCGGCCCATTTTGCTAAGTACTTTTAAAAAATAGAGATTGCTTAAAATATGATCATCTATAGCCTCTCATCTGGGAGGGAACATATACACAGAGAGGTAAAATTCTGCCTAAAATTTTCAGGGTAAGAATCCCTGAACCAGGGAATAATCCTATGACAAGGATAGAAACTGATATTTAGATCTGAATTGATAGAATTTAAACAAAAATTTTTAGAAATTTAGATTTCAGAAATTAGATATTATTCTTAAGACGCTAGGCCAAGACATTTTTGAAAAGTGCTACTGGGAAAAACCTTCAATATCTTTTTTTTTTTTTTTTTTTTTAATGGTGGCTGGCCAGTAAGGGGGTCCAAACCCTTGACCTTGAACTTATAACACCGAGCTCTAACAAATGAGATAACTGGCTAGCCTCTTCAATATCACTTTGATAGTATCTGAAAACATGTTGATAGGTTCTTGAGCCTGTTTAATACACAATGCTCTATCTTCTATAGTCTGCCATGACTTTTGAAGGAAGAAACCATTTTTTCAATATGGCTAGTTAACCTAACGAAGGATAGACCTTATAACTTACATATGGTATTTATCTTGGAAATGGAATTGTGTTTTGTCTGAGTCCGTTCCTGACATGACTAAGGAAAAAATATATAATACTCTTTCATTGACATTTACTTTCTCTTGCCTGGCTGATGTGCATCAGGCATTTTAAACCAAAATATATTCTCATCCAGTTTATGGGTTGAATGTGAGTAGAGAGACAACTCAGCTTAGGTATATACTTTCTTCCTGCGTGAGAGTAGATGTATAGGCAGAGCAGAGTTCAAAAACTTAAGTTAGATTTCTATTTGGAAATCCTAAATTATAATTGAAAGCCATGAGCAAGTACCTTTGTAGATAATGTATTACTATTCTGTGCCCTTTATTCCAGGTAGATTATTTGAAGTGTGGTTATTTTAAATATTTAACTGAGTTTTAAGAAAGTGTTTATTTCAATATAATACATATTCATAGGAAGCTGCAAAGATAGTAAAGAGAATGATCCTGTGTGCCATTTATCCACTTTCTCCCAGTGGTTACATCTTACATAACTATAGTATAGTAGAAAAAAACAGGAAATGACATTGGTACATTTGTATGATTTTGTCATTTTGTCACAAGTAGATTCCAGATACATTAACTATTCCATCATCACAAAGATTTCCCCCATGACTTTATAATCACACCACTCCCCCTCTCTCCCACCATCCCTAACCCTTAGCAACCACTAATTTATTCTTCATCTCTATAATTTTGTCATTTCAAGAATGCTATGTAAATGGAATTATACAGTATGTGACTTTGAGATTGACTTTTTCTTTTCCCTCTGCATAATGTGTATGAGTGTGCGTTCCTTTTTATTACCAAGGAGTATTCCATGGTATGGATGAACCAAACACAGTTTAATATCCACCTATTTTAGGGCACTTTGGTTGTTCCCATTTTGGGGCTACAAATAAAGCTGCTGTGATTAACTGCTAAAAAGATAAAGGTTTATGTAAGTTTTATTTTCTTGTGAACAGTTACATATCATTGAAGTTGGCACACCACCTACTGGGAACCAGCCCTTTCCAAAGAAGGCAGTGGATGTTTTCTTTCCTCCAGAAGCACAAAATGACTTTCCTGTTGCAATGCAGGTATGTTAAGCAAAATAAATGAACTTTTTAAATCTCTTCCCTTAAAACAAATTAATCCGAACACTACTCACAGTTGATATAATTTAAATCGTGCTTAAAAGAGTACTCTTTATTCTAAAATAAAGTTTATTAGTGAAACCTTGTAAAATAATACTCAGATTTTCATGTAATATGTAAACTGGGTTACCCTAAGTTGTTCAGAATTGTCTTCTCTTTTATCTTACAGATTTCATTCATATTCTTGTGTTTATGTAAAAGCTTGGGATATCCCGTATTTAATTGTACTGTAAAAATGAGGGAAACCTTAAATACTTGAATTTTTTATATAAGCCTCTTCTCAAAGTTCTAGAATTTCAGCATCTCTAAATGTTTTTATTTCCTATTCGTAGATTGATTATTGTACCAAAGTGTTGATTTTCTTTATACAGATCAGTGAAAAGCATGATGTGGTTTTCTTGATTACTAAGTATGGTTATATCCACCTCTATGATCTTGAGACTGGGACCTGCATCTACATGAATAGAATCAGTGGAGAAACAATCTTTGTTACTGCACCTCATGAAGCCACAGCTGGAATAATTGGAGTAAACAGAAAGGGACAAGTAAGGAAACCTTGAAACTTTAAGTTAAGCAATAAAATAAAACAACACTTTACCATTAACTGTCTTTGAAAAAGTAAATGGTAACTTTGAATATCAGAAAGTGATTCATACATTAAAATATAGGAGAATATGAATACAAAATCCTCTTTAATCCTTGTCTCAGAGAGAGAAACTGTTTGACATGTAGCCATCTATGCATCTTTATTGTCAAAAAAAAAGTGACTCTCCATGGAAAGAAACTACTAGGGTCACATTTGATAGACTATACTTTTTAATGGGGTTTTCTTCCTCTTTTCTCCAAGAGGAATAAATTGTCAAGTACAGGGAAAAGAATTCTCCCTACATTGCTTTTCCTAACTCATTAATTAAGTATCACTAAATGTTTAATGTTAGAAGATATGTTACTGTACCTATTGCGGGGTGCCTAGGAAGGTTATCCAATTAGATAGGGAAAATATTAGTTATCCTGAATTTGTCATGTTTGACAAACCTCTTCACACCACCTAGCAAGTGGTTCTTTTTTGTGTGTTTTCTTATTATTTCAATGTAATTAAAAATATCCTACCAGGAGGCATCTTAATTTTCTGAAAAATGGCTAAAATTTTAAAAAGTTAATAACTGTTATTGGTCTTGACCACCTAGCAAGTGGTTCTTTTTTGTGTGTTTTCTTATTATTTCAATGTAATTAAAAATATTCTACCAGGAGGCATCTTAATTTTCTGAAAAATGGCTAAAATTTTAAAAAGTTAATAACTGTTATTGGTCTTTTCTTTTACTAGTTCTTCTCCCAATTAGTATTTTTCCCAGATAGTAAGCAGTGGAAGTAGATAGGTTTTTTTCTCCTCTTCAATTAATTTTTGAAAAATGGTATGTATATGAAGAGGCAATTCCTCTAGGGAAAGGGAGTCTTTTCTTACCTATATCTATCCCCCACCTCAGCTACAGACCTGGTTAGCTGTTTCTGTTTTTTGCCCCTATAGAGCATATGTAGCCCTCTTCATAACACTCATACTGAATTAAAATTGCTTAACTGTCTCAGTCACTGTTCTTCATTAGGAAAGGGGCTTGTCCTTGTTTAATTGTATTTCTAGCACCAGTCAGTATCTGGCACAAAAGCAATTATAAAAATTCAATAGCTTTCAGTTACTCAGTTGCATATTGTCTCTCTTGGCAAAACCAAGAGTGAATTGGCCTTTTGGTGAACTGGGTTAGTGATAATTTAATAATCATGAGGTTGTAAAACCAGGGATCTTTTTATTTCTGCTGATATACTGATATTTTAAGATAATGCTTAAAGTATCTTGAATAATTCACCATACATTTTTGGTGTTCATAACTCTAATTTTGGGAACTTATTGTTATTCTTCCTTCCCCCTAAATTTTGTGTGCCATCTACTTTGAATAAAATGATGGGTGTTCCTAGTATACCTTAAGCCTCAGGGCTTCTCTCTACTTTTTACATTAAAAAAAGATCCAGTTACAATACTAGGTGAGCATATGCCCTGAAGGGATGACTGTATGGCTTCCTTTGGTTGAAAAAAGCAAAAGCGATCAAAATGACATCATAGCCAGTATTTGGCTTAAATTCCGAACTTGGTAGAACTGAGTACTTTAGAAGATACAGGAACCTTCTCTGTTCCCTGTAGATCTTAAATACTGATTGCTAGAAATCTGCTCAAACAGTCGTTAAGTATGGTAAAGATGAAACTCAGGGTTTGGTGTTTGAGGGAGACTAAGGCAGTGATCAATAGGAAGCTTCAGAAAGTGTAGTTGGAACTGGATTTATTCATCTTCCTTACTCTTCCTAGGAGGTAAGAATTAAATTGAGGGTGGGGGTTGGGAATGTAAGTGACTAAAGAAAATAATTAATTACTTCCTTTAAACAGTATGTTTTAACATGGAGTAGAATGACACATTGCAAACACATGGTGGCCTAAGCTTTGGTAATGTGAGTCTGACCTATAGAAATGAAAGAATCTTGGAGGTTAAAATTCTTCATTTCCCTCAAAAGGGATAATAGAACAGGCAGAGGAGACTGTTACCTATCTATTTGGTTACTGAATTCTCAAATATTTTTTTCAGTTCTTGTTGCTCTAGAGACAGAAATTTCCCATTTTCATTTATTCAACAAATATTAAGCATGTGCTTTGTGTTACACACTGCCTGTTGCTAGTAAATGCAATTAAACAAAGACAAGCCCCTTTCTTCATATGGAATAGTGACTGAGAAACAGTTAGACAAGTAGTTATAATAGTCCAAGAAGTGCCATTAGTGGTAATATAAGTAGTTTACAAGCTAGGATGTATAACCAACTCTGTTGGGGAGAAGGATGCCTGGATAGGGAAGGACTCCTTTTCTCTAGGACAATTAACAGTTCAGCTTTTGGTGCAAGCAGGGCTGCATTCTGTAGTAGTGAGTTTTAAGGAGGATTGAGGGTGAATAACTGTTCTCTAAACAGAAACAATTAGAAATTGCTCATTATTGATGCTGTATTTATTAAGCACCTACTGTATATACCTTGCATTATGTTAGGTACTGGAGGATTCAGTGGTCCCTCCCCTCTTTGAGTATATAACCTGGGCTCTAAGAAAGTAAATGTAATTAAAGAAATACTGAAAAATTCTTATTCAAAAAACATCTTAAAATTAAAAGGCATATACCTTAAACTTCCTCCTGGTGAGCCCAAAATTCATAGCTTCTTCAGTCATTTTTTGTAGGTTGTCAAAATTGCATTCCACAAGAATCTATAAGCCATGTGGAATTGTCATTCAGAGCTCAGTTAAATGGGAGCCTTAATCTTTGATACTTACTATGTTAAGAATGAATGGGGGCTGGCTGGTTCCCATTTGGTTAGAAGAACAGTGTTATAACACCAATCCGAACCTGCCAGCAGCCCCCCCCCTCCAAAAAAAGAATGGATGCTATCTAAAGCAATTAGTTTGGCAATATGAAATAGGAAGTTATTTATATTATAGGATGGCCATATTTTAGGAACCGCAAAATGGCTTAGCACCCCAAGGCACTTGTTCTTAAATCTCTCCAGTCTTCTCTCTCCTGGACTCCCACCTTCCTTCCTATCTTCCTCTTTCTCCAAATTAATTATTTGTTTTTTTATGGCAACAATAAAGTGGCTGTCACAAATTCACAATTTCATTACTATTGTGACTCCAAACATATTTGGTATCATTTATATCCAAATGAACACATTGCAGCTATTCTTTAAATTGCAGGTTCTATCAGTGTGTGTGGAAGAAGAAAACATAATTCCTTATATCACCAATGTCCTACAAAATCCCGATTTGGCTCTGAGAATGGCTGTACGTAACAACTTAGCCGGTGCTGAAGAACTCTTTGCCCGGAAATTTAATGCTCTTTTTGCCCAGGGAAATTACTCAGAGGCAGCAAAGGTGGCTGCTAATGCACCAAAGGTAAACAGTTACGAAAATGAAGTTGCTATAATTGAATTAATGTTAATATTCTCTATTTCTAATACTGCTAGAAGAGAAAACAGCTTTACTTGGATATAATAATGTTTGGTTACTTAGGTATAATACTGTTTGACCTCATAAATGATAGCTACTGATTTTGTTTCCCAAAGTTGGATATTAAACAGATCCTGTCGAATTTATGGTAAGTAGAGCTGTCAGAAATTGGGCTGAATTTATTCCCATCACCTTTGATATTGGTTTATGTTGGGCTGAATTAATACCTTACATTCTTGACCAGTATTAATTATGAATTTTGCACTTAATTTAATGTGAATTTGGGATAATATCTAGCTATAACTATTTTATAATTATACTTTTTCTCTAACACATTGACATTGTAATTAAGTTGGTATATTTCTGATTCTGAATAGTCTCCTAACATTGAACCAGAAGCATGACAGACAATGATTGAATATTTACCATAGATGGAAGTGATTTGAAATTTGCTATTAGGGCCGGCCCGGTGGCGCACTGCGCTAGTGCGCTGCTTGGGAAGCGCGGAGGCGCTCCCGCCGAGGGTTCGGATCCCACATACAGACCGGTTCCCGCTCGCTGGCTGAGCGAGGCGTGGGGGCAACACCGAGGGTTGCGATCCCGTTGCCGGTCCCGGTCCGGTACGGGGGCGACACTGAGGGTTGCGATCTGTTGCCGGACACAGAAAAAGACCAAAAAAAAAAAAAAAATTTTTCTATTAATAGATGGACTTATGACTTTAAGATTGACTAAGAGACCCATAGGGTTATTTGTGTGATGTTTGGATCACCTTTGAGTCGTCTAACATTTCTTCTTTTTAAAGGGAATCCTTCGTACTCCAGACACCATCCGTCGGTTTCAGAGCGTACCAGCCCAGCCAGGTCAAACTTCTCCTCTACTTCAATACTTTGGAATCCTTTTGGACCAGGGCCAGCTGAACAAATATGAATCTTTAGAGCTGTGTAGGCCTGTACTTCAGCAAGGGCGGAAACAGCTTTTGGAGAAGTGGTTAAAAGAAGATAAGGTGCATTAATTCATGTTGACATAATTTTGCTTTGATTGAATTACATAATCATGTTAGCAAGTTAAAATCATTTGAGCTGCGCCAAAATGTCTCTATTCGTTATTTACTTTAGGTTTTTAAAAGGAATCCAGGATTCTTGCTTGGTGGTTAAAAAAACTAACCTGGAAGTGAATTGCTATCCTTTTTGCTTTAGGAAAAGCTTAGTGTGAGATGCTTACTTCAGCATGCAATCGTATTTGTCAGTATATGTGACAGTCATTTGGACATAGGAATATATATACATATATATATATATTTTTTTAAGGCTGGCCAGTACAGGGATCGAACCCTAGACCTTGGAGTTACCAGCACCATGCTCTAACCAGTTTAGCTAACCAGCCAGCCCTGGACATAGGAATATATTCTTATCTGCCACATTCCACACTTGATATGCACAATAGTTTCAGTCATACAGGTATCATCTTCTCTTTTAGAAATACCAAATATTAAAATTCTAGTATTTGCTGTTGGTAAGCATGTTTGGGTGTGCAAGGAAAACATATAAAATGTCGGATCATAGTTGTGTTAAGACAGCAGAGCCATCTAATTAGCAATGAAATACTGTTTCCCAAAGTGATTTCACAGAATGCTAATCGGTGTAATATGGAGAAATATTTAACTTGGTTTCTTGAAATTTATTTAAATGTGAATCTCAAAAGTTTTTTTCTTTTATCTTTTGTTGTTTTTTTCTTATTCTTTTAATGCTAACCAGCTTTCTTTAGGATTTCTCTATGCCTTTTATATTCATTCAGTACTTATTAATTTCTTTTTACACAGGGCGTGTAATCGTACCATGTTTTTTAAAGCACATTATTTCTTATGTGGAATAGTGGCTGAGAAACAGACAAACAACAGAAGTTGTTTATTCGTAAGGCAACAAACAAGTTTAAGCAGTCCGCTAGTGTTATTCCTTTCATACCACCATTAAAAAAGCCTTTCTTCACAAAGTTGTAATATTGAATTGCCATGTCCTGTGTGCCATTGTCAAGAGCTGAGGTAGCACTGTTCAAAGCACTCTGAATAGTGAATAACTTTTAATACTATTTATTATTCCTTTCAGCATTAGTGTATGTTGCCACTATTTTTACACTACAAATTCTGAGTCTTTGTTTCTTGACCCTGCTTCTGGCAATTTTATAGGGTACTTGTATTAGTCCGTTTTTGTTGCTTATACCAAAGTACACTGAACTGGGTGATTTATAAAGAAAATGAAATGTATTGCTTACAGTTTCTGAGGCTGAGAGGTCCAAATCCATCTGGGGGTGGCAGCAGTGACCCAGGGGTCTCCCATTGCAAGATGGTGGAAGCAGAGAGAGCAGAGAGAAACAGACTCTCCTCTTCTTTTAAAGCCCTCAGAAACATGCCCCTGACCACCATTTTTAATCCATTCACCACAGCATGGTCCTGCAATCCAATCACCTCTTCAAGGTTCCACCTTTCAGTTACCATAATAGTATTTCCCACCCTCTTAACAGTCACAGTGGGGGCCAAGTTTCTAATACAAAAAATGTGGGGGACACAATTCAAGCTTCAATGAGTTTTAGGGGGACATAATCCAATCCACTACAGTACTGGAGGATAGTACTTCAGAGTTGGGATGCTTGGACAGGAGTCTCTGCTGAAAAATAGTTACTAGCCACACTAGCAAGTATTTGAGGTCTGTCCTAATTGTTTCAGGTAAGGGAGTATGGGAACAGCCAAGGTAACTGAGTTGAGCTATATAACAGGGTGAAAGCTTTTTTTGTGTATCATTACCTTTGTGAACAGTCAGATGGGATCCATTTGTGGTAAAAGAAACATTAGTCAACTCTTCATTAGTTAGCATGTTCAGTTAAGATGTATAGGGCCGGCCCGGGTGGCGCACTGGATAAAAGCGCCGCTTGGGAAGCGCGGCGGCGCTCCCATAGGAGTATGGGAACAGCCAAGGTAACTGAGTTGAGCTATATAACAGGGTGAAAGCTTTTTTTGTGTATCATTACCTTTGTGAACAGTCAGATGGGATCCATTTGTGGTAAAAGAAACATTAGTCAACTCTTCATTAGTTAGCATGTTCAGTTAAGATGTATAGACTCTGTAGAACTTCTTACTTAACAGCAATGAATATCAGTTATGGCTAGTCTCTGAAGTAACCACTAAAAGTAGAAAGTCGTCTAAAAATAAAAACATAAAAAATTTAAATTAAAAAAAAATAGGAAAATCAATGCTAGTATGTAAAGCAGAAATCTTAGAAAGCTGATTTCCAAATTGGGCAGCTGACTGACTATTTGAATAATAGAAGAGGAGGATATCTGCTTGTATACGACAATAAAATTCTAAAATTTTCTTTTGTTTTACCTTGTGAAATTAGTGTCCTGCCTTACAACCTTAAATCCAAAAGTCAAGGAGGTAACAGAGCTTAGATTCTTTAGACATATAGATTACACCCTAATTTTAATAATAGTCCTGATGGTGAAACTCATCTAGCTCCTTCATTATCAAATTTTCATTTGATAACATTACATTAAATGCTGCATTAGTTTTGAAAAATTGGATCCATGCAGGTCTGATAATCTGAATATTTTTAGTAGTTAGAAGTACAGGATTCTGCTTTAAATAAAGTATTTACATTCCTAACAAGATAGATGATAATGTCAATAAGCATGAAGTCTTGGTGGGCTTTTTATCGTTGTTTTAGTAGGATGCATGGAGAATTCTACTGAGACATTGCTGTGAATATAAGATCAAGAGTTTTTACCAACCACAACCCCTGTATATTTATAATATATTCTGGGAAATTGAGTAATTAAGTACCTATCATACTAGTTATTATTTATAGTGGAAGTAGTACCAACTGCTCTTATAAAACAACTCATGGATCACTAAACAATCTCTTTCCTTTGGACAGCTGGAATGTTCTGAAGAACTGGGTGATCTTGTGAAATCTGTGGACCCTACACTGGCACTTAGTGTGTACCTACGGGCTAATGTCCCAAATAAAGTCATTCAGTGCTTTGCAGAAACAGGTCAAGTCCAGAAGATTGTTTTATATGCTAAAAAAGTGAGTTCAATGAAACAAATTCTCAATATAAATTGATTAAAACATTGAGAGAAATCAGCCTGTACTAACTTCATTACTTTAATAGTGAATTTTCTTAAATTTTGGATTATTTGGAAAAGTATAAAGATTCTATCTTAGGTCTCCTATATAGATTTCACATTTATTAAGAAATGGGAATAATTACTCTTGCATGGCTTATCAGAATTTAAGATAGCAGGGGCATGTTTAACATGTCAAAACAAAATCTTTTAAATGCTCATTCATCAAAAATGGATAAGCCTATTATAAAAATTTATAGTTGTTTGTTCAAATATGTTTAATTGAGCTTCTTAAATTCAAAATGAATTTGCACTTTTACCAGTAATTCTATATTAGCAAGATTTTATTATAGAAAAAGCCTTAAATGCTATGAAAATGAGACTTTACAGTAGGGTTTAATTCTTTGTCCATTTGTAGGTTGGATATACTCCAGACTGGATCTTTTTGCTGAGAAATGTAATGCGTATCAGTCCAGATCAAGGACAGCAGTTTGCACAAATGTTAGTTCAGGATGAAGAGCCTCTTGCTGATATCACACAGGTAATGGCACTAAAATGTGTAGAAGCTGATTGAAATGGAGAGTGGGGGGTATAACTTTAAAGAACTTTGGAGAAGAATAGGTTAAACTTTTCAGTTTGTAGAATTTAGAGATATGTCTCTCCTCTCTACATGGATAAACTGAAGTGTCTTACAAAAAAAAGCAAGTTGCAGAAGAATGTACAGTATGATACCATCTATATGCAGTTTTAAAACATGCAAAGCAAATACTGTCTTAGAGATGTATGTGTATTGAAAATATGAAAAATGTATAGGAATGATAAAACAGGATAGTGGCTGCCACAGGTTGAGGGGAGAGGGAAGAGATACTATGGGAGGTATGAGTCAGAGTTCTTTATGTTTTTGTATGTTTTTAAAAGTTCATAAATTTAAATCTATCAGTTTGACTGTATTCTATTATATAATATCTTGAAGTATTTTGTAGTTATTTTTACCAGAACTAAAAGTAACTTCTCCAGAGGCCAAAAGTGCATTCTTAAAGTGTGAAGTTATGTTGTCTAAATAATATTCTTTAAATCTGGTATTTGGTTTATTATTTATGTATAACAAAAGAGATCATGCTTAATTTCATTTACATATTAACAATATATTAAAACAATTTCTTAAAATTTTTTTTTGTAGATTGTGGACGTCTTTATGGAATACAACCTAATTCAGCAATGTACTGCATTCTTGCTTGATGCTCTGAAGAATAATCGCCCATCTGAAGGTCCTCTACAGACGCGGTTGCTTGAGATGAACCTTATGCATGCACCTCAAGTATGTGTTTTCATGCTTTTAGGCATGTTTCCATCACCATTTTAGTTACTGTGCAGACTTCTCAGATTGTTATTCAAAACTATTGAGATGCCTTTTCTTCAAGAAAATTTAGCTGATGTTCCTTGTACTTTATTTCCTTTGCTAATTCACTGTTGAATCTTAATATGTAATCTGAATATCAAATTACTGATATAAATGGGGTGGTAAAAAAACTAATTCTATTTGTGGCTTTATAGGTTGCAGATGCTATTCTAGGGAATCAGATGTTCACGCATTATGACCGGGCTCATATCGCTCAGCTATGTGAAAAGGCTGGCCTCCTGCAGCGTGCATTAGAACACTTCACTGATTTATATGATATAAAGCGTGCAGTTGTTCACACCCATCTTCTTAACCCTGAGGTATTTCAGTTTCTAACTTAACAGATGGTTTTACTTGTGATTATTTGGTATACTGAAAATGTGTTTGTGGTACTGGATGATAGTAATTTCATACCACCATGAGGTTCAGCTTTATTTCATTTATTGATTCATTTATTTATTTTGTCTTCTAGTGGTTAGTGAATTACTTTGGGTCCTTATCAGTAGAGGACTCCCTAGAATGTCTGAGAGCCATGCTGTCTGCCAATATTCGTCAGAATCTGCAGATCTGTGTTCAAGTGGCTTCTAAGTATCATGAACAACTGTCAACTCAGTCTCTGATTGAACTTTTTGAATCTTTCAAGAGTTTTGAAGGTAATTAAGGGTTTTTGAGTTTTTAAAAATTACTTAAGATACCCAGGAAGAGGTATGCTTGTGATCAAGCTATTAAAAATTCTTTCTGAAAGTTTAATTTTATGGGACATTTTAATATTTTAAGTTTTATTATTCAATAAATATCGTCAAGACCCTTTTACATCAGATCTTAAGTATATGCAGTGAACAAGACCATCTACTTAGATACTTTGTCAGTGAATTAAAGGTAGAATTGTACAATAAAAATATATAGTGGCTTTGTCATAGTTGTATAAGATGAAAATACTACTGATCGTATGTAATATTTCATGCTTATATATCTGACTTTTTTTTTTTTTTTTGGCAGCTGGCCGGTAACAGGGATCATACCCTGGATCTTGGTGTTGTCAACACCACGCTCTAATCAACTGAGCTAACCGGCCAGCCCCATGTCTGACTCTTATATTGGCAAATGATTCTAGCCAAGGATATTTTGTGAGTTGTCACTGTATAGCAGGGTTTCTCAGCTTTGGTATTACAGACATTTGGGGCTGGATAATTCTTTGTTTTAGGGGGGTCATCCTGTGCATGTAAGATATTTAGCAGCATGCCTGGCTAGATCCAGACCCACTAGATGCCAGTAGCATCAGCTCCACCAGTTGTGACAATCAAAAATGTCTACAGACATTGCCAAATGTCATGTGGGAGGAAAATCATCCCTAGTTGAGAACCACTGCTGTACAGAGTACTAAAGTAATCACTTTTCGGTGGCTCTCATGTTCATTAGCTAAATTCTGGTTTCCAGTTACCTTTTCTCCTCTCACTTTGTAGTCATAGTGCTCTAGACAGAAGTAGTAAGAGATTCTACTAGTTTTCTTAATTTTCTCAGTTTTCGTATGCTAACTATGCACTAAATTTACACTGTTCAGTACAGTAGCAACTACCCACAAGTAGTTAAATTCATTAAAATTAAATAAAATTTAAAGCTTAGTTCTTCAGTCACATTAGCCACATTTTAAGAACTCAATAGCCATATGTAGTTAGTGGCTATCATATTGGACAGTACAGATAAAGAACATTTTCATCACTGCAGAAAGTTTTATTGGACAGCACTGCATTAAATTCTTTCTAAACTACTTTTGTTTGTTTCCTATTAATTTATAGCATATGGAAAAACACCTGGTATTAGGGACTTCATTTAAAATTTCTCATGTGGAATATGGTGTAATAATTAGCTTTGGTGTGAAGTAGCCACCCCTATTTCTAAACTACTGGAAAACATTGAGTTGAATATTCTGTTTTGTAGGGATTAAAGTGTAAATCCATTTTACTGAACTAGTTACTGGATTAATTAGTATTCTTATTGAGCTTTTTAAGCAACCAATTTATATTTGGGAGTATTCCGTATAACAGTGTGTTTTAATTGCTTGACTGTTTTTCAATTCTTTCATTCTCAAAAGTGCACCTATGCTTAATTTCAATTATTTGTTTCTTTAAGGTCTCTTTTATTTTCTGGGATCCATTGTTAACTTTAGTCAGGATCCAGATGTGCACTTTAAATATATTCAGGCAGCTTGCAAGACTGGGCAGATCAAAGAAGTAGAGAGAATCTGCAGAGAAAGCAACTGCTATGATCCTGAGCGAGTCAAGAATTTTCTCAAGGTAAGTAGTTTTGAGTGATGTGTTTTCTGGTTGGGTTGAAAGGTCAGCAGTTTCACAGGGGCTCCAGTCTTAGTTCTAGAATATGTTTTTCCCCTAAATGTGAAGTTCTTAGCATTCTCAAATTGTGTGCTGGATTATTCCTTCCAAACTGAATACTCTGTGGTTTCCTTTGAAATAGGGAAGGAAATTGGTAAGTAATACTTAAGAATGACCATCTGTTTAAAAGAAGGAAAAAAATAGCACTATCGCAAAGCAATTTCCTTCCATTTTAATTTTGTAGAGAAAATTTTATGGTTGTATACCCTCAATATCATTTTAGAGTATCATTTAGGCTTTTTTTTTTTTTTTTGGTGGCTGTCCAGTATGGGGATCTTGGGGATCTGAACCCTTGACCTTGGTGTTATAACACCATGCTCTAACTAACTGAGCTAACTAGCCAGCCCATTTAGGCTTCTTTTGAGTATTAAGATCAGCCTGCCCTCAGTGTCATTTTGAGGAGTCTCTGTTGTAGGCAAAGAGGTCTATTGTCAAGGATATAAGTTTACCTCAATCATCAAATTTGCCTGACTCTTAGAAATGAAAAGTTTAAATGTATATTATTCATAAACTAAAGGTAAGATCAAACCAAAAACGCTCATCTTTGTGATACATGAATTCATTTATAGAGAAGTAAGCACTGCCTGTGTTGGAGTGAAGAGTAATGGTTAAAATACTTGAACTTTTTAGAATGGGCAGTTAATTTTGTCTAATGTTTAACTTAGCTTTATTCTCACACCTACCAGTTACTTTGTGAGGAAAATAAAGCTTTGAAGTTGGCAGCTGGCTGTAAAAGATCAGGAAAACTATAGAACACTCAGATTATTGCCCTCTCCCTGCCAAGTATATATAAATACACACATATACATATATATATGTGAAATGATACCAGACAGTTCTGAAGTATTTTTTGTCTTCTGTAAGATTTTTAAATTGAAAGTAAAACCGAAATGTTTATTGTGTAATTCTTTACAAAAAAATAGGTTTTTCCTACCCCCAAATTGTCATCATTTGTAGATAATCTATAGTTGAATTGTCAGATCGTTCTTTTGAAGAATTTACTGCCTGGGCTCTAGATTAGATAGCTAAACCCTTAGGAGTTTTAGTATAATGCAGTCGAAGTGCTGAAATTACCCTACATGTTTTTTGGTGGCTTGCTTGATAGGGGGATCCGAACCCTCTACGTTGATGTTACAAGATGGAACTCTAACCAACTGAGCTAACTGGCTGGCTCTGCCCTACACGTTAGGTTAAAAGATAAACTTTCCAAAAAAGCATAGCTTTATAATGTCTTGGCCATCATGAATATTCTGGGGAAACTTGGCTTTCTGATGTTTTGAACTCCAAATTTTTCTGGTGTCAAAAAAACTTCCAAATGAGAGATATGGTGCTCTATATCTGACTAGTGTACCCGTAACACTGGTTCACTTCCTCTTTTGAGTATCATTAGTTTCCTTTTTAAAAAAATACTACTAGATTCTTTCTTCCAAGATTTCTTTTTGTTTTTAAGCTTTCAGCTTTTATGATTCAGTTGAAATTTTTTTAGCCTTGGATCTTAATAGTTGGATTATATATGTAAAACAGAACTAAATTAACTAATTTAGTTAAGTATCATTTGATTACAGTGTTCTTGAGCTTCAAAAAAAATCATTTGGATTCTAGGATAGTGCTGCCTTAGATTATTTAGCCCATGGGATTAATTAGATGAGGATTCCCTCTGCATGCTTGCGAATTAGGTGCAGGCTTGATAAAGTAGCAGGGTTAGTGTGGGTTATGAGCTTTTCAATCAGAACTGTTTCAAATTCTACTTGGGCATTGTTTGTTCATTCAATGTCTAGGTGTTACTTCAGCCTCAGTTTCTTCAACCATAAACTGTTTATCAAGTACCCTGTGTGCTATAAATATTTAAGTGGTAATCATTATTAATAAGCTGTGTTGGTGGGCCTTGGAAATAAGGTGGAGTCAGCCTACATGTGATTTCTATCAGGCAAGTTTTGTTTGTTTCAATTTTAAGTTGTTCCTGAATCTTTGAAGGAATTTATTTCCAGTCTAAATTAGAGGTGAATCTAGTGTCTTATGTTTAAATAATCTGGGATGGGAGCTCAATACGAAGATGCTACTTTTGTATTCAGCCTCTCACCCCAGTGGTGAGAATGAACATATTAGACTATTTACTCACTTTTCCTTATTGACATGTAGTGCACAGCTACAGTGCCTTTCATCATCACTATTGTCAAACTTAAATTTTAGAGGTACTCTAGCTGCATGTTAATTGACTGGAATTGTATGTAAGCTCTGTGATCGTAAGAAAAATACTTCTCTGAATCTGATCTTGAATATTCAAGTGCTGTTTGCCTAGCCACCAGCAATTCAGAGATTGATAGATCATAAGCACTTTTTTTTTTCCTTTTTTGTCTTTTTTACTGACCGGCAACGGGATCGCAACCCTCGGTGTTGCGCCCGCACCACGCTCAGCCAGTGAGCGGGAACCGGTCTCCACATGGGATCCGAACGCTCGGCGGGAGCGCCGCCACACTCCCAAGCGGCACACTCTCCAGTGCGCCACCGGGCCGGCCCAAGCACTTCTTTAAAGCACTGTGTGAGCAGGATGAATTGGTATCATCAGCAGCATTTGACTTATGCCCTAAATTTGTGGAACTGTAGTTCCCTGTAGAAAGCATGGATGTGTTCTTCAGAGTCATGATCTGCTCCTTGCTACCTTCCGTCTTATTTTCTACCATTCTTTTTCTCCTGGTTTTGCTTCAACTGCACTGCCCTGCTTGCTGTTCCTGGAATTCTCCCAACCCTCTCCTGCCCCAGGGTCTTTGCTTGTGCTCTTGGCTACTTTTCTCTCAGACCTTCTTGAACTGCTTTCTTACCTTCTCCAGGTTACTAATCAAATATCATAAGAGAGGAAGTCCGAGGTCACCCTTTCTAAAATAGAACCTATTCCTACCCTATTCACACCTCCCCCTTATCCTGCTTTATTTTCTTTTATAACACTTACCACTATGAGACATTGTTTCTTCCCACTAGAATGTAATCTTTGAGGGAATGGACTCCACTTACTTTGTTCCCTGCTGTAACTCTAGTGCCTAAGCACAGAGTCTGGTACATAGGTACTCAGTAAGTGTTTGGTAAATGAACAAATTTATGTTGAAGAAAACCTCTGTATGTGTTTATGTAATTTCAATTTTGATCTTAAAATCTTTAACCATTACACTGGAGGTTAATTATTTAGTAAATAATTTAAAATGTTAATATTACTTCTAATAATATTACTTCTATGAAACCATGTGCAAATTTAGGCAATCAAGAAAATACCCTGGGCTGGCCGGTTAGCTTACTTGGGAGAGCGTGATGCCGGTAACCCAAGGACACAGGTTCGGATACCTGAACTGGCCAGCGACCAAAAAAAGAGAGAAAGAAAATATCCTAGTTTTTATGTACTTTTTCAGTCTTAAATTTTCTTGTGGAATACAGTTAGTATTCCACAGAAGTGGAATTCTTGGACACAGAAGTTCAAACACCCATGCATGAGAAATAGAATAACCTTAGATTACTTGCTGCAAGTATGTTTTTGTCCTAAGTGGTAACGTAATATTTTATATGTATATTAAACAGGGTAAAGAAGATTTGTTGCTCCACTAATTTTCTGATGTTTGTTTAGTAGGAAAAACATTACCTACTGAAACTTTTTGCATAGGTAGATACAAATAGATTCTCTGTAGAAATGACTGTAGCACCTATTAGTACAGAGTTTCCATGGTGTTAAGCAATACTTGCTTTAGACTTTCCTTAATGTAAAAAATCTGCAGCTGGACGTCCACTTCAGATTTACAGCCATTTTTATTTTTTAATTTAGGATGGCTCACAGATTTATTTACCTTGGTGTTCTCTGAACATTTCATAGACTAATCTTCGTATTATTTATAATTGGTTCACTTAAATGTCCTAGTCTTAGCAGTCATTTTATTCTAACCCTACAAATAATGTTCTTAGTGGCTGTCATTGGGGAAGGTCCTATCCTGCTTAGATCTACTTCCTTAGCAGACTGTCTTAGAGGAATCATTTATTGAGGAATGTTTCACTGTATATAAATGAATTCCTGATGGAAACTGTTATTTTTTGTGCTGTACCTTATGTCTGTGGAATATAACAGGACATGTATCAGGTAAATTCCCAGTACAGGTCTTCCCTACCTGTCTATAAAATGTTCTATGTCAATCTATAAATAGGACTGTAGTTTGGTATTTGTAATGGTAAAAGCAGTTGGCAATTTATAGATGTCTTTTCTTTAAATGCTTTTTTTTTTTTAACCTTTTTCTTACAGCAACATGTGGTGTATTTAAGTCATGGCCATCACCATCATGTTGCTCGTTGTAGGCTTTATATAATAGAGTGTTAGAGGCTGGTTATATAGATTGGAATTGGGGAGGGTAGAAAATTAATCATTAGTTTGAAATTATTTTTGACTGATTATAGTTATTAAATCAACTCCAAATTCAATTAGAGTGTTAATATGAATGAAAGTCCCAATTGTGATGATTTTATAACATGAGTGCCACTAGTTGCTCACAAATCTTAATTTATTACTTTGTTTTGGTAAAGGGGTATGTGCAGGGAGGAACCTGGTATGTGAATCTATGTGAATCTAGTTATTGCTTTAGTAAAAATTTACTGAAACTGGGATGTGCACAGTCAACTATTGGGACGTTTATTTCTTTAATAGAAGAGCCAAGTTTGTGTGAGCCTCTCCCATATGCATAGGACATAATGTTTTATATAGATTTGATTCCTTGTACGAAGGAGAAAATTAAGTCTTCTTTTTGTTCTTTTTTTCAGGAAGCAAAATTAACAGATCAGTTACCCCTTATCATTGTATGTGATCGATTTGACTTCGTCCATGATTTGGTGCTCTATTTATATAGAAATAATCTTCAAAAGTATATAGAGATATATGTGCAAAAGGTAAATATTTAAAGGTATAATCTTATTGTATATTTATTTCTCATATTCTGGAAATCTTCATCCTTTCAAAACTCTGTGCACAATAAGAGGGGTCTGCTATAGTAGCTTTCAACACTTTACCCCAGCATTATCTTTTTATTATTATTATTATTATTATTAAAATTTTACATGCATGCTAAGTGTGTAAAACGTAGGAATAGAACGGCTGAGGTTGAAAAAGTTGGGTGGCCTAGGGCCATACTTAAGTTGGTAGGCTGTGAGGTATCCATATAGAGCCCCTAAGTTCCAAAACACAGTTTTCAAACCATCTTAAATATTGATATTAGAAACTTTACCTTCTAACTCTAGACATAATAAGATGCTTTGGCTATAATGGGAGCATTTTTATTAGATAGCTTTCCATAGTCATTCTTTGACTTTAGTTTCTTCGGACTTATTTATCATGTAGAGGAATGATTAGATCACTAACCGAGCCAATAAAGGATAATATGATTCCAATACTTATTAGACCATGAAATCTTTTCTTTCTGCTGGACTTCCTGCTAAATTCCTCTATCTAGTTGTAAATTTAGACTCTTAGTTTATTACTAAATTTAAAAACTGAGCTTAAAAGAGAGTAACGGATTCTCTTGTAACTCCTCTTTGCTTTGCTTATTAAAATAATGGCATTCTTTTTTTTTTTTTTCTCACCACAGGTGAATCCTAGTCGACTTCCTGTGGTTATTGGAGGATTACTTGATGTTGACTGCTCGGAAGATGTCATTAAAAACTTGATTCTTGTTGTAAGAGGTCAATTCTCTACTGATGAGCTTGTTGCTGAGGTTGAAAAAAGAAACAGGTGTTGTACATTTATTCATAAATGGAATAAATTAGTAATCTTTCTTAGCATGGTAATGGATAAAAATATAGCTAGTCATTTGCCTCAAAACTACTCAATAACACATGGAGAATAATTCCCTGGAGATACCTAATTTAGAGGTGATAATATAGAAATCTATATAGAAGGAGATACCTAATTTAGAGGTGATAATATAGAAAATCTATTAACTTGATTGATCACTTTTTTTGCATGTTTATTATTACAGCTACGTGGTTTGATTTTCTGTTTTTAATGTAAAGTATGTAGTAAACCTCCTTTTAGTTAGATAGGATACCAGTATATTTAACGATTAATTCTTCACTGATAAATAGTGTGGTGTTTGTTCACGTATAAGAGGGAAAATAGTTCCCTGTGCAACTCTTGGTTAAACTGATATTTAATTTATAGTACCTTAATATGATAATGTGAATTATGAATTTCCAATAGTAGAATACAGTATAAGTGTTTTTAAAACTTACTAGACTATGAAGTCTTTTTTTAGCTGGAACATTTTGAAGAACTAGTGTTTGGGAAGTGCTGATGTAGTAATTGAGGTTGGTGGATTGATATAATAGAGGGAAGTTACTCTAGCTGCATGAAAGATATGAAGAAAACCTGTGGGGTTTAATTTTAACCTGAGTTAATGTAGGTAACCTACTATGGTATTCATAGGATTTGTATCAGAATGTTTCAAATATGGAAAAATTCTATATTTAAGGACAAAAGAGATATATAGTATAATACTGACTTAAAAGTTTGAGCTTAGTTTGAAATGATTTTAAGTTATAACAATTAAATGTTTAGAAAGAGGTTGACTTTAAGTCTAACACCTGAAAAAAATCTTATCACATATTCCAAGCAAATAGCCAGATAGTTTCTGCTAGATAATTGGTCTTCAAATGACAAATTATATTGTGATAAGCTAGAGTCACATCTAAGTCACTAGTCTAGACATACCTTAGCTAATCTTAATTCTTTCAGTTGACATGGCACATCTGCTTTGGTTGCACGTATTTATAGGGTCTTGATTTTTGCCTTTATTAATAAAAAAAATTGTCTTTACCCTAATGGGAATGTTCATAATGACTACGTGAATTTGATAGCCAAAAAATGGAATAATGCTTTTTCTCTGACTGCTTTTAGTATTTAAACCATGAGTAAAAGAGGCATGGTCATCAGGACCATTGAAACATAAGCTATAGCTTAAAAACCATGACCCTTGGTGGAATGATCATATAACACCTAGAACTATTAAACGCAGAGCTTCTAAAGCTGCCAGATTTTATTCCCAGTATATATTTAGGGTACAGCTCCCCCTTTGCTTATAGGTAACATCATATGTTAATTGTGTTGAAACTGAAAGGAACCTCAGATAATCTGGCCTATATCATACCACATCCCCATCTTATTCCTAAACAGCATTTTCTAAAGCCTAGAAGTTTTGTCTAGTATAAAAAAAGGACAATCTGTACATCTATAATTTATCTTATATCCAGATATAAGCAGATAGGTATATCTTATGGCAGATAGGTCTGGGAGAGGGAAAACCAGTCTTATATACCTTCTGAGTAGTCTTGGGCAGCTAACTCACTTAACCATCTCTTAAGTCTTAATTTCCCAATATGTAATACGATTGAGAATTAAAAATAATGTATGTGAAAGCACATAGTAGACCGTAAGATACTTATATAGTTAGTATGTTAAGAATGTGTGATTTGTAATACAATATGTGTTTCTTGTTTCAATTTTTTACTAGATTGAAACTGCTTCTGCCTTGGCTGGAGGCCAGAATTCATGAGGGCTGTGAAGAGCCCGCTACTCACAATGCATTAGCCAAAATCTACATAGACAGTAATAACAACCCAGAGAGATTTCTTCGTGAAAATCCCTATTATGACAGTCGTGTTGTTGGAAAGTATTGTGAGAAGAGAGATCCACATCTGGCCTGTGTTGCTTATGAACGTGGCCAGTGTGATCTGGAACTTATTAATGTGAGTACTGCTAGCTGAATGTGTACAGAGAAGGCTACATTTTTTTGTTAACCTATCATACAATGTCAGACTAGTGAATTTTGAGAGTTTCAGAGCAATTTTAGAGTATATGGAGCATTTTTGGATGATGGGTACTTTTCAAAAACTTTATTTGGAGGTAACTGTGAACTTAAAAATGCCCAAAATTGCAGATCAAGTCTATATACTCTTTTATTCTGATTGACCTATTAATGTTTTAACCCAACTAGCTTTATCAGTTTGTGTACTCATACATGCACCAATCATACATAAATGTATACACATAATTTTTTAGCCATGTGAGACTAGGTTGCATACATCATGGCCTTACACCCCTCCCGAGTGTATTTCCTAAGAATAACGATATTCCCTTTTATAACTACATTGTAGATAACCAGTTTCAGTCAGTTTGATGTTGATAGAATACTTTAAAAAATTTGTTTTGTTCCAATTTTGTCAATTGGCCAGTAATATCCCTTATAGCAGTTTTTTTTCCTCTAGGATAATACATCGCATATAGTTGTCATGTCTCTTTAGTCTCCTTTAATCTGGAACAGTTCATCAGCTTTTTGTCATTTTTATGACACTGATATCTTTATAAAAAATAGGGTTCCCCCCCCATTTGTAACTTTTTTTATTGAGGTGAAATTCACATAATATATAATTAACTGTTTTAAAGTGCACAATTCAGTGGTATCTAATGCATTCACGATATTTTATAATCACTGCTTTTATCTATTCCAAGTTTTCATTGCCTCAAAAAGAAATCCTGTATTAATTAAGTTCCCTGTACCACCTCCCCCCTCCCCCTGACAACCACTAAACTGTGCTATCTCTGTGGATTTGCTTATTCCGTATATTTCATTTAAATGTAAAGTCTCTTTTTTAAAAATATGTTTCTTACTTTCAGTTTCTCTGATAGTTCCTGGAGATTAGATTAGATTAGATATCTTCACCCAGAATACTGCTTAAATGATAGTTTGTCTTTCTCATGCTATTAAATCCAGAGGTACACAGTGTTCATGTTGCCCCTTTGTGATGTCAGATTTTGTCAAGTTGTCCCATTTCTTCCTTGTACAATTATCATTTTTCCCCTTGCAGGTATTAAACAGTCTGTGAGTAGACTTTTAAGACCATGCAAATATCCTCCTGCTCTTCTCCATTAGCTTAGAATCTATTGATTCTTGCTTAAGCTATTAATGTGTTGGCTGCAAAATGAAGATTTTCCCACTCTAGCACTTCCTCCATATTTATGTCAGCACTCATGTATTCATGGACTCACAGATTCCTGTTTTATTCAGTGGGTTTTAATCCATTACTATTATTACTTTTTTGACTGATAGGAATCTCTTCAATCTGGCTCCCATGTCTTTGTGTCATGGGCCCATAATTCTCGGAGCACTTTATTTTATGGCATATGACACACCGGGCTCATTTTGTACCTTCCCAACCCTGGAATCAGCCAATTCTCCAGGGAACCTCGATCCATTTTAGTGGGGAATGGTATTAGAAACCAAGATCTGGGCCGGCCCCATGGCATATTCGGGAGAGTGCGGCGCTGGGAGCGCAGCGGCGCTCCCGCCGCGGGTTTGGATCCTGTATAGGACTTGCTGGTGCGCTCACTGGCTGAGCGCGGCGCAGGCGCGACATAGTCTGATCAGTTTTCTT